ATCCCAATAAACATCTTATTTCAGATCCCACTTCATCCCATTTCTGTCCTCCAAGCTGCAGGCTGGAAAGCTCTTGAGAACGGGCAATCCTCTCACAAGAAGCTGGTGTGACACAGCCACCCTTTGAGATGATGGGGCAGCACCAATCCAAGGAGCAGAATGCTGGAAGCTTATAGTGAACCATTTTGTTTGTTTCTACAAGGTTCCATCCTGCATTCATTAGAATCTCAAGGTATTTTTCTGCATTAGCAGTTTTAAAGCATCTCCTTCGCGCAAAATCTGTTTCAGTTGATTATTCTGCCAAATATTGAGTTGCATTTCTTCAAGCTGCTTCTTCACATCTTGCCAATCCATTATAGATTTTTATCCTGCTGTTCTTTTATTTATGGAGAAAATATGTACTTGTTTCATCTCTTTTCTTTCCTCTGAATTAGCATTTGTATAAGAGGCAGGACTAATTAAGCAGAAACCAAGATGTTTTTGGAGTTAAAGGTTAAGTACCTGCAGAGCAGCATGGAAAGCTTCAGCTCCTATGCAGACGAAATACAACAAAAGCAACAGCAAAAATACCCCCTACTGATTTTAAACAGAGTTCATATGATGTATTAGGCACAAATCTCTCCACGCATGCATGTTACGAGCAGGGCAAAACTGAATGACATCAAGAGGTACGCAGACACTGCATGCCTACATTCCCTATCTCCCACTTAAAGAGCAGCTGAGCAGAAACCTCTTTACAGAAGAGCTTTAAGACATCAGTTATCCCCAGATTATTTCTATGGCAAAGGCTGTTCAAGGCATCCACCATATTCCCCCTGCTTAGCTGAAAATACACACTTGAAAAGCTGAAAAACTCCAACAGCCCAAAGAAATTACAGAAACGTGGCTCACCTTCATACACATATCTATGTTTTTTAGAAACATTGGAGCCTGAATATGCAAATGATAAGAATGTATTAATTATCATTAGTCATTCCTTCACAAAGAGCAGAACTAATTGGAGAAACAATTTGAGAAAATTGAAGTACATGACAGAAAGCATTAAGATTCATTAAGTTTCAGTCCTCTGGTCTGTCAGCTTGTCAGAAGTAGATGTTTGCTATTTTGGCATTAATGGTAAAACACTCTTTTCCTCATCTGTTATACAACGTAACTCCTCTTGTAGTTTGCTCTGAGCTGACTCAAGTTGATGTGATGTGTGTTCAAATCAAAGGCACTGCTACAAAGTGGATAGAAGTTCTATTTCCATGTCTTTTAAATGATGAAACTGAACGTGCTGGTATTTTATTATAAATCATTTGCAGGTGTTATTATTTATATCATTTCAAAGATGCCAGCCCACATTCTGGGGAAAAAATAAAAATAAAAGGGTAAAAAGACAGAAAAGACTGCAAATCCAACAAGACATTTACAGGGAAAGGTTAAAAAGATCTCCATACTGTTCCATATAAAGCCTTCAACCATAGCCAGAAAACACAACAAACTATGCAATGAGTTTTGGACATTATTCATCACAACAGGAACAGCCAGAAGCATTTTGATATTTATAAGTAATAGCAGTGAGGCAGCTTAGAAGTTGCCTGCATGCAGAAAGACATTGCAGCAGCAATCAGAACTGAACAGCTCTGGTCAACTTCAGCTGCACTTCTTTATCAGACTGTGCCTTCACCCAGTTGTTAAAAAGGGCAGTGAAATCTTACATCCATGTATTTGATGCCCTCAGGCAATTCCTCCTGAGTTGTGCTGCTGTAAGTGTTATTAATTAAAACATAAATAATTATAAAAACATCATAAAACACAGTCCTGCTATAGGGGACAAATGAAGTCTTAGCACTGTAAGAATTCCCACAATTGTTTGAAGGGAATAACCCATCTGTAAGATCTGACAGGGACAAGGCGAAAAACTTGTTAGACATCTTCTGTTTCTATTACAACAGGGGTGTGAGCTCTATGGAGAGCAACACAGCTCTTAATTTGGGGTGGCACAAGGACCCTACCAAGCTTTAGTCCTTGCTGAGCAGAGCAGGCCAATACTTCAGCTCCATGCTTCAGTAGCAGGCAGTTTGTTTCAACATTTCAAGACTTGATAAACGTAACACAGCTGGCTCAGAAAATTATACATACATAATACATAAAATTCATTTTACAGCTCACACAATTTATTAACTTAAAAAAAAGAAAACACTGAAGTGTCTACTTGGCAATTAAGATTGAAGTGTGTTAGCCTGCAATTAAAATCTATGCTTTAAGAAGTCACGCTATTAGAATGTCTGGCATCCTCTCCAAAATCCATCTTTGCTACCAGAAATGGCTCAGTCAACTCTTCAGCAAGTTGGGAAGTCACAAACCGTAGCTGCTTAAAATTCAGCACAAGTTGCCTCCCTTCTGATTAGCAGCACAAAGTCTGACACAGTGCAATTTATTTTCTACACGACTATCACTGCTAAAACATGAAACACACATAAGTTAGGCAAAGTACAGCTTTACACTCATCTGAAACACGCATAAGTTCGGCAAAGTACAGCTTTACACTCATCATATACGTGCCTGATTAAACTACAGTATCTGCACAGAAATATTGTTATGCTCCAAACTCTAGTAAGAATGCAGCACAAATGTGAGTGTCAGGTAATGCCTTTGAAGCAACAAGAGCAGCCTCTCTGCTTTACAGGATGTTCACCACATATTCCTACTGCTAAAAAGGCTGCTTCAAAATACTCAAAATGAACTCAAAGCAACCTTAGTAGTTGTTCTACAAGCCAAGACCAAGCAAACTCTGCAAAATTATTTTTCCCCAAGCGCAGAATTACAAGCTCATTTATCATTTACACTTATTAGAAACCTAATTTTACACTTAAAGCACCAACTTCATATACGACATAAAACACAGTGATTATTTGGCAAACACAGGAATAGCACCTCTGTTCAAAAGCACTCATGAATCCTCACAGCTGCTTGTCTGTTTGCTTTGTCTAGATGCAGCAGTTCTAAGTAGAAAAAGCCTCCATCAGAGATCTGCAATTCTTCAATTCGGCTTCCACACATGCATTTCTTCCAGCTTTCTCTTTGAGAACAAGGAGGAATCTTCAAAAAAGATGATGTGAGATGTATTACTCTGGGGGAAAATTAACAAAACTAGCAGAAATATCATTCAAAAATGCTACAGCTTTAAAGTGATTACTTCCTCTATTATCAGATGATCAGAAAGTTAAATATAAAGTTACTTCACGTATAACAGAAGCAGTTTTACCTTCAATGTAATTTACCCAAATTTGGAAAGTAAAATCTGTAGTGGAGCATGCAATACTGTTGTTTAAATACTGATGTTAACAAAAGTCACCTAAACATGGGAGAACACAAATATTGTAAGGTTATATTCTTCCATACCAAACACATAGCGTTCATTAAGCTTAGGTAAGTCAAACTTGCAAGATCCTAGAATAAATCTAAACTTCTTAAGGTAAAATTAAGGAGCTACTGAATAGCCACGACAGCATGCAAACCACAGCCTGGACAAGTGGCACAGACACGCACCTTAGTTGGCATACATTACCCGTGGCTGCTTAGGCTGCACTCTGAAGTACTCATCTTCTGTTGGCAGTAATAGGGACTGCTCAGCAGCACATCAAACCACACTTTCAGCAGAGCTGGCAATGCTGCATAGTGAGAGATGCTTCTTGTTTTAATATCTTTTAAAGAAAGAGGAGCTTCAAGGATCGCCCTTCACAAAGCTGCTGAAGAAAAGCTTTCTCATGTTTTAGTCAGAACAAGATTCATACAGATTACACTGTGAAATACTCATGCCCATTTTCCACACAAAAGATTACTAGAGTCCAGTTTAGAAGGAAAACAGGTATGGTGTGCTTTTTTTTTTTTTCCCTAAATCAGAGATTGGCTGAGTTGTGTAGTAACCTGGTATATGATGATAAGATATGCATCTTACAGAAAAAAATACTTTAAGATGACTAAGGGTAAAACACAGCCTTCTTACAAAGAAGAAAAAGCACAACATCCTTCATCTCAAAGTTGAGCCCATGTGAAAACCTGCACAAATAAATTTGATTTCCATTCACCGTGCAACCCAGTCAAGTTCCACTGGAAGCTGCTGATGAGCTGTGATGGTACAAGTTACACCACTGCTGCTATCAGTCCCACCAGGCACTTCAAACTGAATCACTGCAGAGCAGTGATTAAGGGATGCAAGTTTTGGGCACACACTGAGAATCTCATTAGTACCTTCACACAGAGAAGTGGCATTCCACAGAGACACTCAAGCCATCCCTGTAGCCATATTTGTTACCCAAATCATCTTGGGAATAGCTGCAATTACCAACTGTGCTACATTCTTGCAATAGCCAAGTAACACAAGGCAGTTAATTGCATTCATTCCAATGGCCTGTGTCACTGTACAAAAGGTAACCTACCTTGATTTCATCTTTTCCCAGAGTCCAGTGTTCAAATTCAAATGCATAGAACAGCATATTAACAGTTCTACATACTTTTATTAAAGAAATTCATTTACATGGATGAAAGCCCGTGACCCTTCCACATGGGTTATGCTTACAGACCACTTCACCCATGTAAATGGGAACTGCACTGCAGTGCATGTGGTCATTGTAAACCTGTGTTCACGGACAGAAAAAGGAACTGTAGGTAAAGAAAGTCAGAAGCCACAAGCCTCACCTTCATAGCATCAACTCTCCCTCCCAATGAGCATTAGTTCTGACAGTGCATGCAAAAGGCAGCCGTTTCTCGGGCTGGCAAGTTATAAACTATCCAGAGCTCCCAGATATTTGCAAGTGTCAGTGCAGAAAAGTAATCAGTAGATTTCAGGGCAAGACAGCAATAGGAGCCTACCCAATGATTTCCGAAAGGACAGCAGTACGTTTTACACCAGACTGATACAGTGCTGGTAAAACAGCTTTCTGAAAGGACACAAAGTTAAGTAGCCATTGTGAACACACACACTGGGGGAATAAAATACAAGCCACACAGACACGTTCTGTATAAGTAACAACTTTATTGTAACTTGATGTGCTGAAACGCAAAAATATTTTCAGCAACAAGGTACAAAAAGTATTTCACCATTAACATCAGCTGATAAAAAAGGCTGGATGGTTCGATACAACTGTTTACATATCTGAATTCTCTTAATCATCTCCACCCCAAAACAGGTCCAAGTCATTTCACTGGCTTGATTTCTAAAATAGGACTCATTTATCTTAAGCCTTCAAAAAACAGGTTACAAATACAGTGAAGTTCCTTGCAAAACACTTGAAATAGTGAATTCCCTTTACAAACATAGTCCATTTACTGTAAGCAGAAGCCAAGTTATGAAATTAAGTCAGTGTCTTGCTAGCTAACGAGCTAAGCTCTTTACTACAGAAGCTGTCAACATCAGATAAAGAACATTCCATTCGTCAAAAAAAAAAAAAAATCAAGATATTTTATTAACCAATAGTAAAATTCAGCGTAACTCAACAACATTTCAGGCAGCAATACCTCACATCTGCAATTCACTGTCTTATGAAACACAGTTTCAAATACTGCACGTCATTTTATTCTCCCAAGGGAGAAGCCTTCCCATGAGGATTTAAAAGGAATAATCTCCACGTAGGCCTTCTACTGACCTGTAGAAAGGTGAATTTTGTGTTAAACACTCATTGTTGAGAAAAACATCAGAACTAGAGTGACTTATAAAACTAACTTCATGTCCATGATTATCACATTTTGACACACACTCAGCTTGTAACAGCAAATATTTTCACATTTTCACAAAATAGACCATTATTCAACTTACATCTGTTATTCCACACTTTTTGCAGCGAAACTTAACTGCAAAAGCAGGAGTCAACATGCAACAGAGCTCAAAGGCATGATCTATAACTTCTGTCTCAACTGCGTATCAAATGCCCTCCTTCACCTTTAAAAAATACCTTTTAAAAAGATGTTGTTTCCTGTTAAATCTTCCCTTCATCGCAACAGTTTCCTAAAAAGGCACAATGTGTTTACACTTCTGCATGCAGTAAATGGACTAGAAAATAAGGATTGTTTATTGAAGCCTCTTCCACCCAAAGCATCTCCTTAGGAGAGGTTCAAATGGAAAAAAAAAATAAAAATAATAATATATATAATACATAATAGCATTTTAACAGCAAATGGAGTCCTTATTTTTAGAAAGTCATTCTTGACAAAAAACACCACACAGTCATACATACACACACGCACACACACAGGACACACATGCAGGGTTCTCCCCAGAAAAGTATGCAAGCGGTGGTTCACATCTATCCAAGGGAGTAGTGTTGGCAAGCCAAAACGTGGCACCTTCATACGATATATTCCTAATCTGTATACAAAACTAAGAAAAAAATCCTAAGATTTCATCCTGAAAAAGAAAAACCCAAAATCTGTCCATCGTATTACACAGTCTTCTATCTGCTGCACTTAGAACTGACAACTGATGCTTTGAAGGGCAAGTATTTGAGATGTAAGGGATGAAAACAAGCTACTGAATCCAAAGGAGAGGGTTGCAATTAACAGCTATCCCACCCCAATAAGACAAGAACACCGCATGTGTTTAAAGAACAGAAGAGGTGAATTTTAGTGCACTCACTTAAGAATACAGCAACTGTTTCGCCTCTTTCTTAAGAGCTGACCAAACTTAAAAAGATACATAATAAATAAACCCAAATCCAATCAGATTACATGGTTTGTTTTCTCTCCTGTCAGCGTAATGTACGGTATACACTGCCTAATTTGAAAAGTGGACACTTCACAACGTAGGTAATACCACAGCACAGTGCCTGACATTTTTTGGTACAAGTGTGCTATTAAGCTTCTGGAAAAAAAAAAAAGTCTTTGTAAAATCCTTAAGCTTTCCATTAGATTACTGTATGTTGTTACTTCAGATCAAGCTGATCTGGACAATCACTGCAGTACTAAATATTCAAGTCACTCAGTGCGCTAGGGCTGCAAGTTTTACCGGTGATGGGTATGAGGGTATGATGTGTTCTATTACACAGTGCAGCCACAACAGCACTGTTTTGGAGGGAACCATTATCTTCACATCTTGCTGTGAAAAATGCTTGTGAGACCTTATTTTAGATAAATATTTAAAAATTGATATAAGGATAAATCTCTGTAAATATATAATTTGATGCCTTACGTACTATTAAAGTTTCTGGTTTTACACTTTATCCATCATAAAAGATTTAGTTGGAAGGTAAGAAAAATGCATGTTTAGAGACTATTTTGTTAAGAAATTGGTGTGGGCTTTTTTTCCAATTTGCCTTTGCTAATGGCCAGAGTATAAAAGTATACATTCTTTCCTCTAAAAACTTCATTTAGAGCAATTCATAAGAACCTTAATGAAATGAGGATGGAAAGAGACTGTAAGAGAGTAAACAACTCCTCCTCTCTGTTCCCTGCATAACTTTTTTTTTTTATTTTTATTTTTAATAGGCAAACTAAAGCCTTTATCCAAACACGATCATAAATTAGGTGAGATCTCCTCCCAATCCCCACTGCTAAACCCAAGTCTTCCCAAGGAAGAAATGCAACACATCACTATTACAGTAAACTCAATGTAATAACTCAGGAAACACTTTGAGAGTGCACTACTGCAAACTTTTCCTCTCAATTGTAAACAAAGCTATCAAACACTGAGGAAGTTGGTATTAAAGCTAAGGTTCATGGAATAAAGAACTGGCCCATGACAAGCATTTTATAAACGTTTCATCCTTTTCACATTATGCAGAATTCCAAAACCATCCACAATGCTAGTACAATAACTGAAATGCAAGACTGAGCAAGTCTCTGCTTGCTGACACATCTGACATTTCAGGGAAATATTCCTCCTGATGCTTGTGGAGCTTCCCAGGTGCTAACAGAAGCTGTGCACACACTGAGATGGGGAAAGCCTCTCCTCCACAATTTTGCCTTCCACGTGCCTCTTTCAAATAAGCAGAAGTATTCTGTTACTTAAATATGAAAGCTTGCAATAGTCACCTTCAAATGAGTCTTAAAAAGACATGCTTTTCTTTTCTAACAAAACTAAATCCCATGTGGCTGTGGGCATCTGAAAACGTATCTAAAAAGTTAAGCCACAATTACCTGTACCTCATTAATTCATCAAAAGCAAAATATATATGTACCACACAACATACAAAAGTTACACGTTAAAAGTGCATATTAAGAATCCATTTGGCCCATTTTCTTCAATTTACATTTGGTCATTCTATGCATTCTTTACTTTTCTATGTAACCGTACATGTGGGATATATTTTTTTCCATATACAATACTTTTCTGTTTTCACATTGAACTCTTCACCTCTTGTTCAGTTCTGCATTAAATGTAAACTAGCGATGGACCACAAAGAAACACAAGCAAGAGGTTCATATTCTGTGTTTCTTTTCACTGTTTGGACAGCTTTGACACACACACAATAAGCATTACAAACTGTAATGAAAATACATTTTTGGGCCAAACCATTGCATATTTGCCCCCACAATGAAAAATAAATTATGTTCAAAGCAGTATATTGCCATAAATAGCCTGTAGGCATTCGCTGAAGGTAAACAGGCTCTCCCCATACACAGCACTTGTCTAGGGTACATTTGTGCCTCTGGTTCAAGTGCTTTCAATGAGAGGCTAGTTAAAACCTTCCAGTTAGCACAGGACCAAACTATAATAATCTTTTTTTCTTCTGAAAATAATGGAAGATCCCTTTCAAAAAATTAATCTTCAGTTATCAACTTTACTGCATTATGGAGCTAGTGCAATCCTGCAGAGCCTAGTCAAAAAGACAAGGCACATTAAAAAATAATAATAATAAAAAAATCAAGATACATTAAACTATATGGACTAGAGTCATTGAAGATAATTTAAGGCCTTTCAGTGAATTAGAGTAATCAGTCTAATTTAAAGCTGAGGATTAAACCATAAATTATCCATCTGAAAAGCAAACAATAGGCTTTTTCAGCTTCTGTTCTGTGGACAAGGATAACAAAAACTCTTGTTATGGTTTGTGAAAACACCTCTGGACATGGAGGAGTAGAGTCAATTCAGTTTCTCTAAGTCCATGGAAGATTTCAGGACTGTTTTAGCCGTTTGCGTGGAATGCCAAACTGTGGACACTGTGCAGACGCGAGTGCACGAAAGGCCTCTGCTACTAAGTGAGGGTGGGAGTGGATCATGGACTTCCAGCCTGCTGTTTCCATTATGTCTGTTGCTTGGCTGAAAACAAAAGTATTGAGAACAGTCACACACTTTTACAAATCAAATGCACAAACACACGGCGGAGAAAAGAGCAGGCAGGGCAAGATTACAGTGGAAGAGCAGCTGCACATTACAAGACAGACATTATGAAAGCAGTAACAACACTGTTGGGAAGCAGAACCAAATTCGGGTATACCAGTAACAGCGTGTGTAGTACACAGGCTACTCATCCTGCTCTATTCAACACTAGGCAGACCTCAGGTAGGGAACTGTGTCCAATACAGAGCACAGTGTAACATAACCACCTTTCAATCACAAACGAAAAGCAATAAAAATGTTCAGATAACTAGAAAAATAAAAGTTCATTGCTGAGAAAAGAAAACCAGGGGAAGACATGAGAATCTCATTACACAGAATACGCTCAATGTGGGGGTGAAGGAAAGATGACAAGATGAATCAGCTGAAACTGCAGCAAAAATGACTAGTTGGCGTACTAGAAAAAGTCATGAAGACAGATTAGCTAGGTGACAGCAGAACCCTTCAGTTAGAGATTGCAGTCTGAGTATCAGTGGATGACAGATACCTGGGGACATTCAACTCTTTTCAGTACAAGATCCCAGGTTGCATTCAGACTAGCTTTCAGCAGCCACTGTCAATTTTTAACAACAGATTTCAGCAAGCATCATATTGACATTCATGAAATAATAATGTATTTTCTCAACATATTTATATTATTTACAAAAAAGTCGATGCAATATTGTTTTGAAATAATATAAAGCAAAGCCATAACATTTACTCTGCAAACAAAGAATACTATGCTGGTTGAGACATGTGGCACATGGACACAGGATAAATTTGTTGTTTGGAACAAACAGCTTAGCCACTGATCCCAGACTTCCACTGATGCATTTTCATAAGAATCTTCATATTGTCTTGGGAAATTGCCAGGCATAAAGTTAGCATCTGATCTCTACGCTGTGTAATCTCTCTCAAAGAAAAGTTTTTTTGCGGATTTCTAATGCCAGCCTTTAATCTTCTGCTGCAAGTCAATAGAGGTAAGTGCCTTGAGCAATAACACCAACGTTTGGACACCTTAGTTCTCAGTTAGTTAAGCCAGGCCCTCTCAAATTGCTTCACTTAAATCATCCGCAATGCATCAGGGAAATAAAGACAGCCAGTATCCTTACTAGCAATTACCCTAGACCAAAGCCAACTAGTAAGCTCCAAATCACAGGAAAAATAACACACCGACCAGTCCACGCTGGTCACAGAGTTTTATTAGTTTTCCTACTTCGTATGTCACGATTTCTTTCTACCATACCCTTCCTTTTCCACACCATGCTCATTCGTGACATCTATGAAAATCAAGTTCTTCAGGGAAAACACTAATAAAATTACTGGTATAAGCACAAGTTCTTGAACTGTTCCTGGAGATTCTGACAGCAAGAAGTAAAATCCTGCTGTCCTTTTACTACATTTCAGCTTACCACTATTCATTGTGAAGCTGGCTGTCTTCTGCTCCATGATTTACTTGAGCTGCTTTAAGTACATACTGCAATCAGTCCTACAGTATGAGGGACATATTCTCAACTGATCTTTAGTGCAGGCATGAGCACTTAGAGAATTAGTCAGATCAAGGGACATGACTGACGGGTTGTGTGGCCTCAAAAGTGTAAGTGCTCGCACATTGGAATGTTTGTTTGTAGTAACAAAAATGTTGCCAGAGGCATGAAAAGAAACTGCCCTTCTGTTTTTGGTAATGCTGCAGAATCAGACTCATCTAAGCAAGTCTTGAAATCACACCAGAGTTGTTACTGCACCAGGCACAGCATGGTTAACTGAAAGATTTCCTTTACTAAGGGCTGATGCTGCTTTTCTCACAGCACTGACTCTTCCTAGGAAAGGGATTGAAACCTAGCTGTTTTTATGACCTCGCACCGGAGGGCACTTAACTCCCCATATCATCTAAAAGGGAAGTCACAATCGTAACTGTGGTAATATCTGCCAAATCCTATTTTACTTACAGTGAGTGACAGGCCTCAGTAGTGTGGAAATGAAGTAACAGTTCTTAAGATCTGCGGTCTATGTAGCAGTGTTTGTACAGAACATCAGGAAGCAGGGAAACTTACTTGCTATTCCAGTTTTTCCCATCTTTACACCCAAGTTGTCTAAGAACACTGCACCTGAAAGAGAGAGCATGTGCCCATATTGAGAAGGTATGCAAAGCCTAAGTTAAAATATATTTAGATTCTCATTAACATTACTTGCCTGTTAATAAAGTCTATTGCTTGTGCTTTTAACTGTTCAGCGCTGTGCAAATCTGCGAGGATAAGGATGTCAGCAACATTTTCTACCGAGAGGTTACTACAGAGTGCTTCCTCACACATGACCTTCAGCCGTTCCAGTGCATACTGATAAAAGAAAAAACTACACTAATTATTGTTCAAACTTATTCTTTTTACCGTTAGTTCAAAAGACAGTTTAAGATAGACCCAGCCATGAAAACACTTAGTGTCTCTCAAGCTTAAGAGCCAACAGGAAATTCAATATGCTGCATTGGAGTCTTCAAATGGTAAGACATCAGGCTAGAAATTATTAGAAGGACTTAAAAAAAAAAAAACAAAAAACAATCAACAAGAAGTAACTCATTTAAGAGTTTGTTTTCCTTCAGTTTGGCAAAAGAAGAAGAGCAAGGAAGACACAGGTACTTTATTAAAACCATCATCAGGTAAGTTTACATCTCAAAGCGAGGGGCAAAAAAATGTACGAAGGAAAGTTTCATGAAACCTCTCAAAACAAAAGTATATTAGTCTGCTTGAAACTGGCTTGCTGTGAGGTTGCTTTTCTTCCTTCTCTGAATTTATTCTTTTAAAAACAACTACTTATAACTTTAACACAGTCTACCAGAAAAGGTATGTAAAATGTTTCCATACTATATTCTGCATGAATAAAATGTGCTTATATTTTGAAGGATGTCATACATTGAATAGGTTTCATTCAGCTGCATACACTTCTGCTGAAATCATCCCCAACCCATTTAATTTAGCAATCAGTTTTCAAGACTGAAAGAAATTTTAGATGCATAAATGGCACATATATAGTCGAGTTGCCATCTAACACAGTTTTATGAGTAACTGTACCATGCAACAAACAAATGCCACTGAGGAAAAGTGAAATTCTTGGGCCAACTTTCAATGTTTCTACGCCTATGCATTTTTCACGTCCATTTTTATCACTACACTATTCCACAGGATACTTCTATTTCGAGAACACAAAAGTTATGTTAACTCTGTACATACCATGTAATAAAGCAGTGCAATCTCTCTAGTAATATGCAGAACACTATTTTTAGTTTATTATTTCATACTCAGGAGAAATTGAAAGACTTTAACCATTACAGGAAGCTGAAGGGACCTCCTTGCTCACTATCTTTACGCCCTGCTATTGCGGACTATTATGTAGCTTCACCTTAAAACATTCCCCAGGATCTATCAGTGTGCTCAATAAAAGCCAGCATTCATAAAATGACACTGTTCCACCTTCCCACTTGGGTGTATAGAACTGGACAAAGCACTGAGTTTCAGAAGATGAGAGGCTGGCTGGTATTCATTTCAAATGAATACACGTGGTAAGTCACCAAAGCCAGGGCAGTGCCAGTTCAAAAATCCTTATAAAAAAAAAATAGAATACTAAATTGCCAAGAAAATAATTGTTTCTTGAAATTAACTACTGGGATGGCTTACAATACTGCCATAGTTGACTACAAGAACAGGAAGCTTTGCCATCAATGTTTTGAGGATGTATTTACACAACCAATTTAGAAATCACACAGGTGGTTTAAGAAATTACCATACTCTGAACTGTGAGTGAATAGGTTACAGATTACATATATTTAAAGGAACATTCTCTGAGCTCTAAGCTACTTACAGCTCCTCAAGGAGAAACAGCTACTTGTCCTCTGCTGATAGCTAACTAAAATCTCAATCTAAGCTATGAAGGAGTGAAAAGAAGAAAGAAGGTATTGCATCAAGTTTAAAAAGTTAAGACAACTCTAAGTTACAATTTCAGTGTCGTTTTAAGTCCTCTCACCTCAAGTAGTAAACAAGAGGAGGTAAGTAGATAATAATAGACAAGATTCCCAATGCAGAAGAGACTATGAAGTTTGTAGGGAAGACAAAGACCAAAGTTCTGAAGTAGTAGTAATTTTATGGAACATGGTTTATTCAAATGCTTGCATAAATCCTCGTAAGGAATATCAAGACCTAGGATAGATTTTAAGATCCACTTTTCCAAATGGTATCAATGGTCTCTATTTTTTATTTAATTAATTATAGTGTATTATATTTACTATCCTTACTATACTTACTTACTTAAAGTCTGGAACACTTGGGTAAAGAAAAACTTATTGACAGATTGCTAAAATTCTACTGATAAAGAATTCTGTTCTTCCCATTGTTCTGTATTTCAGATGAGAACTTTCCTGTGGTATTTCAAAAAATTGAAACATATATCAAACTGAAGGAAGATTATTTTTTTAGAAGAACGTTCTACAAACTAACATCAATTTTGAGACCTTAGGGGTTAGTTACTTACTTTGTCTGCCGCTGCCAACAAATTGTCAGCCATTTTTTCAAGGTTTGGTGCTTTTCCTGTGTAAATGAATCTCATCATTTCTTTAAAAACTTCAGGGTCTACATCATTTATTTCCACACGGTTCTGGTAAAGGAAAAGAATGGTTATCAAAAACCTTTGGAATTCAGCTATGTTTTTGAAGCGAGTATATCAAGTATTACCTGTGTGCACATCATGCTTTCACTTCACACCCACCATACAAAACCCTTACAATTTCAAACTACCATTCCACAACATTAAGCAGAAAGTAAATAAATAGTAGCTCTTAAGAGTCAGGTGGAAATCAATTGGGAAACCTTACACGACAAGAATTAATTGCATTTTCCTTCTTGAAATATCTAACTTTGTGGACTGCATTACACAAGCTGCATCTGAAAATCAAGGTAGTTTCAGGAATATTTAAAAGCGCTCTGAGTTTTGAATCTGACAATGACATGCTTGGAAAATCAGAAAGCAGAGCAACAGAGAACACTGAACCAACTTAAAAGTCAACAGTTCCTGTTTTCTTCTCAAAATCCAAAAAGCAAACAAAGACTTTTTGCTTGGACATCTAATGGGCATCACATATCTGACAGTCTTCCTAATAGAACAGTGGTATTGCATGCTATCCCCTATAAGCAAATAAGGGAGGAAGGAGTGACAAAGATGCAGAAGCAAGCATTAGCCTTTTGAAGCAGGTACAAAACCACCAAAGCACAGGATGATGTACAAGAGCAAGGCTGCACTGGAGATTTGTTGTTAACATAAAGCTAGTCAGCAAAGCACATTACGGAAGGTGGGATGCATCTGATTTTCTTTAAATCAAGAATTCCAAGCAAGTGCTTTCTATATTCCAATTCTGCCTGAGAAAGTTTCTTGGGAAACTGCAAGAAGGAAAAAAATGCCACACAGTTGTATTGCACTTGATGGATTCATAGACACAAGTGCTACCACAGCAGCCTGCAAGATTAAATGATGATCATCCATTACAGTCCTTTTAGCAAGCTGATCACTTCCTTGCCTCTTCATAGGTTCTGCCTATAACCAACCCATTTTAGACGTGCATAAAAGCAGAGGCAACTCTCTGCTAACTAAATACCTATCCATCCAAAACACTTATACAGGTCAAGCGTTTGCAAGGAATCTGAATGAAAAGCATTTCACTGCCTCAAGGCTTAATGCGAGTTAAAATTCACCTTTTGGTCCTTTCTGTCCTAATGACCACATAAAACTTTCGTGTTTTGCTCTATCGTGCTAATCAAGTCCATTGGCTTAAATGGGAGTTGAAGCTTAAGCAAAAGGGGAAAGAGTACAAGATGAATTGCATTAGCAGCTGAAGTGTTAAAAAACAAAAATGCAATCTAAGGCAGATTTAAATATTTGACAGAACAAAGTCCACCAGAACCTTTCCACAGTCAGCCCTATATGCCCTTTCTACACAAAGAAACTCCCACAGAACTCATGCATGGGAGACTGCAGGAGTACCAACTCCAATCACGCACTACCACACAGCACACACCTTCCTGTTAAGCAACACCTGAAACACTCAGCAAGCTATCCCCATTTCACAGTGTACAAGTATTTATGTGCAAAGTCTTCAGTAAGGCTTACCTTTTTGCTTTCTTCCATTTCATGTTCAAACATTGCATTAAAAACTGGAGATCGTGCTAGAGCAAGAGAGGTGAATATTTATTAAATATAACCAATTTTTAAGCTTTCAGCAATTTTAGTAACAAAGTAATAGCAGTACAAAAGTAGAAAGTACCTGCAAGGACAGACTTATGTGCTTTGAATTCTTGTCCTCCTACGTAAAAACTGCAGTCTGTAAATCTTGTTGTTTCCCAGAGATTCCCTAAATCTTCTGCTAGTCGACATTCAGGTACCTTCAAAGTGTTTGTGTTAGACTGTCCTGATATATTTACCGAGTCTTGGACCACGCTTACCTAACAGAGAATCACAGCAAGACAATTCTTTCATAACTGAACGCCAACAGTAATTAAATTACAGCACCTATTGCTAGAAGTTCAGCAATTCCAAAGCAAAGCAAAGCACAGTGGTGTCTCTGGCGTTAAGCCAGAACCATAAAACAGTTTCTTACAGTTTACTTACAAGTAACATAAAACAAATAGGATTTTACTGATAGGCTAATGTTGTGCGCTTATCCAACCAAACGATAAAAAAGCAACAGTAAGTCAAGAGATATGGTTCCTTTGACACCATAAATACATGTTAATTCTATTTCAAGGATAAACTAACACTTCAGTCTTCACACGTTTAAGTAAAGTGTACACAAAATCAGGTTATAAACAGATCAGTAGGACCACTAGAGCACAGAAAAGATTTGCAAAATACCAGTGGCACAGCTCTCTTGTTACCCCATGTTACTCTCGCAAGTAATTGTTTCTTCAAGCAAGATTAAAAGCCATTATTTGAGAAGTGCATGCCAACAGAATATAAAGCACAGTAAATAAATAATGAAATGCATACTCACACGTTTTAAGTTTTCTGCAGAACTAGATAAACTGAGATACATGCATCTGAAGTGAATGCTACCACTACTCTCCATGCTTAAGTCTTTCACATAAGTAACAGAATGGTAGCATTCTTACTCGCCTTTGTCAAATACCTTTGCATACTAACTCCTTTTAATCAGTCTGTTGGGAAAATGCTCAGCAGGTTTTATTTCTGTTGTCTGAGAATACGCGTCTGAGAATAAAACCTTCCTTAAAATAAAACCTTCCTAAAGAAGAAAAGCTACAGGATTTCAATTACCGCAACTCTCAAATGCAGAAAATTAGAATTACATATGAAGAAAATGCTGATATTGTTAAGATTGGTGCTCTGCTTGATTTCTAGAGGCAAAGCAACTGGAATAAATCTGGCATAAAGCAAAAATAGCACAGCTAAGCTTCACAGAAAGTCAGTGTGAACCAACCAGCTCAGAAGAGGATGACGATCCAATTAAGACAGCAGTTTGAGGATTTGACTCACTGACTAATTCCCTTTCATCCCATACCCCCTTGTGATTATAAAAACTTTCCTTCTATTCTTCCACCTTTTAAAAAAATGGAATAAAAACATTTTTTTCATTTTCACAATAAGACTGTATCTTCAAAACATCCAAAGATCAAAACTTCAGTTTTCATAGAAGGCAATCTCACGAAGTATGAATATACATAAATGGAGTCTCAGCTTCACAAAGCTTATCATTTGTCAATGGAAAGAGTTGGCTCCTCAAGACTTCACCTTAATTTTCTGCTCCAAGTTGTCAGCACAGATATCTCTTTCCTTGTGAGCTACAGACTCTTCCTAGAAAGGTCTGTCTACATATTCTTTACATTTACCCAAGCTGGTCTCCAACATTTCAGAACGTATTTCAGAAAGATTTCCAATATGTATTTGATGGTTGTGCAACACTGTATGAGTTATTCTTTTTAGATGCAACCTGAACAAAATTTTTATCTCCCATAGCTGAATGAACGTATTGTATCATCTATTGGTAGGATCTTTAGAAGTCATTACTAACTTACAAATCTGATGTTTCATGTATCACATATCCAGGCAGTATGCTTACAATCTAAGTGCTTTGGGGTTCATTGTAAATGAATCATTACAATTAAGCTACAACCCAATCATTTTAACACCAGAGTCATTTTTTTCCCCCAAAACACTTTATACTAAATATTTCTTTCAGGCGCTTCATAGCGGTGTTCATAAAATAACCCATGAGAGTGAAGCTATTTCTTCCCTAAAATGCAGGATGAGGAGAAACTAAAACTAATTGCAAAGAACCTATCTTAAAGAAGAGTAGTATTTTAGGCAGGAGATCCAAGTACTCCACGAGGTCCGATGTACTTACATCATAGAAAGCTATGCAAGATGCAGCTTTTCACACTACAGTGGCTGCACAGATCTTTTTTAAATTGTATATCCTCGTGTATGTGGATATATAAAAATATATGAATTATGACTTGTCCAAGTTCAGTAGGCAAGATGACAGCTAACACGGGAAAAGTCATTGCTTTCTTGAGTTTGAAGCTGGTGGTCCAACAGTAAGTGTGATAAGCTGTGGTACTCCAGACTGCTCTCTATGTAAGTCACCTAAGAGCTGCAAAAGCACTCCGTAGGAAAAAAAATCTGCAGATAAATTGCTGTTCTATCAACAAATGAAAACAGTTGCCAGACTTTGGAAAACTCAGATTCTGTGAAACTACAAATTTGACCTAGAGGCTTCAAAAGATAGTTACGTAGTTATATTCAGTAGGGCTGGCAGGGCAGCACTGGATTTTGCGAAGTATTTGACCTAACCCTTCAGTTTTCAGTCCAAAGACATATCCAGTGATCTTGAGAACATCCTGCAGCATCTTGGTACACGCTGCCTGAGAAGACCAAATAATCCTTCTGCAAAACTAGGGGGATAAACAGGAGAAAGCCAGTACAGGTGCTATTCAGTGATCATTACTGAATACCCACCATGTCCAGGAGGCTTTATCAAGCAAAGTATAAATCCTTTTTAGGAAGGTAAGTCAGTCTTCATACACAGATACAAGTAGGAAGGTGAACACAGAAATAAGCGCTTCAAATTTAAAAAGACAAATTTCAGACCCACATACAGATACAAGTCCTTCAAAGAATACCTGTTATTTTTAGTTGCTGAAGAGCAAATAAACCTATTTTTAAGAAGCTGCATCTCCAATCTTTTTGTTTGAATTTGAAACAAATCAGAAGATATTCTGAAACCCTCTCTGCGTGTAACTAAAATGTTGTACTTCTTGCAACACTTACAATCAGGGTAGGTCAAACACTTGAACACTCAAAACTTCTCCACGTTTTGTAAGGAAACAGTTACGTTCAATTATTAGCATCAAGACAAAAGTATTTTTGAGAGGAAAAAAATATTAGCATTTGTTCCCTCTAAAATTAAAGACAGTTCCAAAAATGAGCACTGAAAGCAACTTATAGCAAACTATTCATAACAAGAAAAACTCCAAGTGAGGAAATACTCCTGAGTATCCCTGCAGAACCATAAAATACTTGTTACCTCTGCTTTTATCACCAAAATAATTGTATTCATAACAAATTTATCATGCAGCTAATTTAACTTGTCTATGTGAAAATAAGATGCGCTATATTTGCAATATCCAGTCTCAGGGGCCACATTTCAATTATTCTTCCTACACAGCATAACGACATATAATTAAATTGTAATCTTGCCAAAACAATTTTACACATTTCCTGTAAATACACAGATCAAAGCAAACTTATTAGCAGTTAAAGCATCTATCATCCTCCTAAGCCACTAATCACTCCATGGCAGCAGAGACAGCCAGTCAACATGCATTTAACATACACAGTTCTTATACTGCAACTTTCTCTAGTTTCCATTTTTAACATGTAGTAAGCATTTCACTCAATTTTAATATGACATCTAAGGTTACAAACAAAACCAATACTATAAAAGCATCTCATAACATTCCAGGAAGTTAAGCTTATACTGCAGTTTTCCATATTCATTCTCAGTATTAAGAAATATCCCAGAAAACTTGCATTTGTTCAGGAAAAAAAATTTACAGCTGCTGTAAAAAAATCAAGTGTTTAATTGAAAAAAACCATTCACTGATTAAAGCCACAAATAATAACACTGCAGAGTAGATTCCAGCCAGCAGTTGTGCTTTTATATATATATTTTTTTAAAATGCAAGCCAGCACACAGATATTTCCTTTTACCTATCCAGTGATGAACAATTCTTTAATTCCAAAACACCACTTCTTTATTTAAAGGAAACCTTAATAAAATGATACTCCTACAGACACCACACATCAGCCACCTTTTCATAGATAATTCTACAGCAAATTTCAGTGTACCCTGGCTGATTTGTGGAGTTTACAAGCAATCATTTCAGAATTGTTCTGCACTTCGATATAGTGTACAAAAAAAGAAAAGAAACAAAATACAATGTAGACAATGCAAGCAGTAGCAACTCTTGCCATATTTATCACTTCCAGAAAGCAACTGTCATAGAGCTCTTTAAATGAACATAAAGCAGAAACTTTGGGCTTTTTAAGGAGAACAAAAGCTTAAATTACACCCACCTCACAAAATAAGGTCAGCTTGTCATCCGGTAAAAGACCATTAGCTTCATCTAGTAAAAAATCTCTTCGGATAAACTTCTTAAAACCCCAATCCTTGCCTTGCACAAACCGATACGCTCTTTGGCTTTCTGATAAAAAGACAGTTATGTACAGATCAAGCAAGTCAAATACAAATATTACCAGACATTAACATCTGAAAAGTCTATACTACCTGCAACTCAAACCACAGCATCTCTTTAGATTTATCTTAGGCACCAACCAGCAAGAGAATTTCCCAATTCAAGCATAAGAGTCCAAACAGAAACTGTTCATCGGGAAGTACCGTGACAATGAATTTGTCATCACAAATGCATGCTGACAACACTTCTGCAGTTGTCATAATAATCTATTTCAGCTTCTTCCTGAAACAGAAAATCTTGTTTCCCAAGTTCAAATTACTTCGGAATAGAGTAAAAGAGCAGCAGAAAAAGAAATGAAAGCTTTCAGCTAACTATTTCTCTGGTTGTAAAAACATATGTTGACAAATGCTTTGCTTTTTTTAAGCTACTATGACTTTTTTTTTTTTTTTTAATTTAACAATTTGCTGTGACCACAAAACCTTTTATTTTCCCTGTTCTAATGGTCTCAGCCCACAAAAGGGTTCCCATGGTCATATTAGTGCAAATACATGCACTGAGTAAGGTTAGTCACTCTACATGGCACGCCTGCTATAAGATGGTCATTTGTTCCACAAAATGGACCACAGGAAAGTACACTGTATACTTTTATGTGAAAATAAAACATGGGAAGTTATATTGAGAAAGAGTGCAGAAAAGAAAAAGAGCAAGAATATTTCTGAAGTTATAGTAGAAACTTAAAAAAAAACCAACACCACACACACTCTCATATGAGGGGCTTTTCTTTAATTCCAAAAAAGCTGGGTGAGAAATTGTATCAACATTCACCTGCTATAAGAACGCATGTAAAACACAGAAGCAAAGGCAAATGCACTTACTGAAGTGCAGTGTGGGGCCTTGAGATGAGGGAATCAAAGTAGAAGATTGTTCATGTTTTTAAATCTGTACGCCAAGAAAAAAAAATTGTCTGCCGTTGTAAAAACACAGTTTAGGTTTTTGGCATCTCTGTCAGCATTTTTCACATTTTTTTTTTTTTAAACCAACTTTCCAACGTCTCACGAAGCCCATGAAACTGAATAGAAAAATAAAATCAAATTTATTCAAAAGAAAAAAAAAAGTTCTCTAGATTCAGTCCAAAGCTTTGTTCTGCAGCCTTAGATGCTACTGCTACCAGCAAGAACCAGTATCAGCCCTCTGAAATTACAAGATCAGCAGCCATTTAAACATACAAAACTGTAGAACTAAAACAGCATAAAGTGTTTTCTTTCTAATGAAGTCAAAATGTTAGTTTTACCTATCTTATACAAGCATTGCTTGAAGCAGCAGTCTGTGCATCAATTATTAACAAAGGATGTCTGAAGTTGGGCATCATTACATGTTATATATAAAAACAGAGCATCTCCATGAGCAGATGGTAAACGGCTGGAAAGACTAAGAATTAAGATTTCTGTTGGCAATTTCCCAAGATGAAAATATGTTTAATTTCTACAGTGTCAAAGACAGGACTGATATTATAGCATAAACTGAAGACATCTATTCACTGTATTTTTCTTGTACCTTGTGAATTCTAGCATTTAGAATACCAATAAGCAAATCATCTTCAAATCCCTTCATCCTACACTGAACAGCCCTCACTGAGGGCAGCTCTCTCACCTTTACTGAGAAAAGAGCACAACTGGGTGCCTTTCTCAAGTGTCTGCACAGTCATGCACAACAGTGCGGGGAAGAAAAAGGAAAAGTAAGAGGCCTGTGTACAACTGCAGGGCCAAGAACTCATTGGCCTCATGGAGATGAGTCTTGCAAGGACTGACGCAGTAAAATCTATCAGTGGATGAATATGGAGCAAAATATGTACATCTATTTCTCTTCCAAGGAGTCAAATTATTTAACGCATTTAGATTTGCACTTCGCTTTGTGAATTTACATTCAAGATTACAGTGGGTCTACTCACATTAGGAGAAAGTAGCACAGGAATTGCCATTTTCAACCAAAACTTTAAGACCCAATATGTAAAGAAATAAAGGCAAATTAGAGATTGAAAACTATAGAGCAACACAAAAACAGTAACTAAAAAACCTAAAATCAAAGCAAACCCTCCTGAAGATTTTGGAGCTAAGTACTGAAGAGCGACAGATGTTCAAAACAACAAACAAACAAAAAAAAACAACAACCAAACCCTGCAGTACAAGAAGGGAAAGAAAGCTTGCATTAAATTGTTGACCTAAATCAGATTTGATGATCTTTTTCATATTCCACTGAATATCTGCCATATCTGGCTGCAAGGTAGCCTTTAGAAGTCATACTATCATTTATGTTTTTACTTAGCATACACTAAAATATTTTATTTAAATGCTCAGTCTAAAATGTCCACAGCCTGCTACACTATCAGGGACCTTACAGTGTTTAGTGTTAAGTCCAACTTTCAGAAATGTTTCTATAAGAATTACAGCTTTACCAAAAAGCATTTCCAGTAAAGGTTGTGCCTATAAGACGGAAAACAAGAAGGCAATTAAATCAACTCATCAATTATTACAAAGTCTTTGAGTTCCTTGGGTATGAGATCCATGTTTTTACACTAATTAGTGTAAATCAGATGAAGTAGACAAAAACACTCTAAAGGAGCATCTAAAAAACATTTATCCTTATATAATGTGGCACTATAACTTTCACTGTAGTTAGAAAAAAGCAAAAACAACTCTAACAGGAACCAAGAATAAACTGCTAGAAAAGTTAGGCTACAAGAATCTAGAGTGACAGAAGTTAGTAACCCACTGCAATTTATAGTGCTCAGTGAACAGAACTGAGAACTGAGTGAACAGAACTGTGCGAAACAAGATTTTTAATTCAGTTTCTAAAAGGATCTTAAAGAAGATATTTCAAGTTTCCTTAGAGTTAAATTCTGTTCAAGAGAGAAAAAATTACTAAGCAAACCTTCTGTGGAATGTTCTTATAAGTCTTGTGAGATTCTCTTACCCATTGCTTTAGTTTCTTCCCTTTTCGCATTCAGCAGTGAAAATTTGAATTTTGCTCTGACTTCACTTTTTGGACAACTGACTAAAAGCAAGTACAATGACAAGTAGTCTTTGCTTTCATCATCTAATCCCTTTGGATTCACTCTCAGGCACCTAAGGGAAAGGAAAAAATGTGCCTTTTAAAATCCTACACAGAATAATTTCAAATAGATATTCATTTTTTAAAGAGAGAATGCCATACCCCATTAAAACAAGTGTTTCCCTACTTCAAACTATAAAACCAGAAGCAACCTGTACCTGCAATTAAACATCACAAACAAAGTTTTGATACTTATTTGTAACCTGAATTTTCAACTTTTGCTAGTGAAAACAAAACAACAAAAAAAGCAGTTGCCAGAATGAAGATCTTACCACTTCATTTTGTCATTTGGCCCTGATGAAAATGTAGAACTCTTTAAAACTTCACCCATCTCTTCTCGGCAGAAACTGAAGTTATTAATGGTCCACATGTAGGAAAATTTCACTACTTTGACCTGAACAAAAGACGTAGAAAATTTCAATAAAATATAGCTCGTATATCAACCATTAGCTGTGAAAATATTAGACTGTCAGCACAATTCAGTGTTTTTAGGGTGGTTTTTTTTTTTGTTAACAGTAATTATGAATAGAAAATGAAGCTGCTGGAATTCATGCAAATTACCTGTGTGTAACACCAGCTTTCAGCCACAGGTCCACTGGACATCTCCCCAGGAGGAGGTGGGGTGGGAACCCTTGACATTGCCACTTACTGCAGGTTGTAGTATCTAAACAGCAATCCAAACTTCAGCAATTCTTCTAAAATAAAAGCAAATATGAAATGAATATAGATTTGGTTGCTTTCTGTAAGTATGGGAAAAATACTATGTTTTGATCCTCAGTGGATGGTCTCTTTCATGTCCTCCACGTACCTCTTCTATTCTAAGAATTACTCTCGTATATTAAAGCCTGCTGGCATGGGAATCACTCCAAATGATGCACATACAAAGCCTTCAAGGAAAAACACAATTCTCAGTTTTCATCAGATGAGAAAGCAGATGCTATAATCAGCTGTCTTAACAGAACTCAGTGAACAAAGAAAATAAATCACCAACTAAGTCTCCAGAAAGATAGAGATCACCAAGACGTTCAAGTGTAATCAAATACACAATTCAGCAGGCCTCCCATAAGCAGCAGAACTTTTCTGTCAAAATAAAACTTGTATTTACTCATGGTAACCCTCGGTATTTAATTAGAGCTTTCCACAAATGTTAGCAGGTGACAATCAGCCACTGTACATGTAAGTAATGGAATTTGCTTGGTCCTTTTTTCTGTTTTCCTTTTAAGTCGGAGTCACAAGTATTGCATAAGCTGCATTTACACAGACTTTGTTTAGATGTTCACAATTCATTTTCATATTCTAGACAGAGCCATCCAGAAAGAAATTCCTTGAAAGGATATATGTGAACATCCCTCTTTCATAAAGCAAGCATTTTGGTGCTTATATGACCATTATTTTTGGAAGTACATCCTACTCAGTGATAACAACCAACGCTATTACCCAAATAGCTGATGGAACTTATATAGAACTATAGCCTAAATTTTTTTAGAGTTTACTTCAGCTTCACTCAACCCATCTGCTCTTCAATTCTCCAAAGTTAAAGAGAAAGGAATAAGAAATACAGACCATTCCTCATTGTCAGATACACAGGACCGACCCAGTTCTAATACGTCCCTAATTCTTTCAGTACCTTAGGACAGGCAGCTCCTAGAAATCCATGATCTTGGAAGAGGCTTTGAAGGGCTCCCTTTGTGAAAAAGGGCCTCAAAATTGGCTGTATTGTAGTCTCTCCACCAGGTGCCCACTAACCTCAGGCCAACTACTAGTAGTTACCTGTTCCTTCCCACCTCAGCCAAATCAGCCTGACAAACTGAGAGGTGATGTCTGAGACTTTACATTGACAGCTGGACTACATGATCTCAGAGGTAATTTCCAATCTTAATGATTCTACAATCTACATCATGGGTGTCCAACCTTTTGGCTTCCTGGGCCACACTGAGGGAAGAGAAATTGTCTTGGGGTGCATATAAAACATACAATATAGTTAGTGTACACAAATACCTCGACTTTTTTATATTATTAAAATACTAAAAAAGGGCAACAGAAACAAAACTAGTGGGTTGGACACATATGGTCTAAGTAAAGGTGGTTAACTGTCACTCCATCACTTCCAGTTCAGTCTGTCGCTGCACCTGGTTCTACGTTGGGCATTTGTGCTTGAGACTGCTCCGACCTGCTGCATGGCTTTTGTTATTCACTACAGCTTCTGACAGAAGCCATGACTAAGTACGTTTGTCAAGTCATTCACAAACTTTGGCTGCTCATAAAGTTTCTAATTACTGCTTTAGCAGCAGACGACTGACTTCCCTGAGCTCCTGACATGCCTTTGCAGAACAGAGAACAAGAACTTTGAACAGGTAAGATATACTGGAGTCTGAGTTTAGGAGTGTAGATTGTTTATTGCTTGGTTTTGCTCTGTTTTTAAATATGCCTGAGTGCATAGTTTTGAAGAATGCAAACCAAGCCCAGCAAACTGAACAAAGGAGATGGTCTGGCAAGTTGTACCCAAGGACTGCCAGAGAGCAGTGGGTAGCTATTGGCAATACTAATAATCTACCTTAAATAACTTCACCTGACTAATTAATCAGGATTTGGAGGCAATGGTAGGGATATTTACCAAAATTACAAGCTGAAAGCAACGAGTCATAGAAATGCTATCCTGACACACAGAGGCATCAGGAGAGGAAAGAATTTCCTCCCACCTGGTGCTGGTGCCCAATTGGCCACGTGTTCCTCACCCACAGATAGTGACACAGGACTAAGGACAGACTGAAGGTGAGAAGAAAGATGCACCTACACGCTCAGCTTTTGTTCTACGTACTATACTTTGCTTGGGGAAAAGACTAAATACTACCTTGAAGAAACTGTTTATGAATCATTGATCAGCCACTGTCATCAGCTCAGACAAAGAGGTTTCCAAGCACCAATCCCCCCTCACAGCCTATTAGATCAAATGGCTGGGAACAGACAGAGCCGTAGTTCACAAAACCTGTCAGGGAATCACGAGGTGGAATTAAATCAATAAAGTGCAGGAAGACAGGCTTGTTATCTGCAGGATGAAACCACTTACTCAAAGTAACACAATTTCACGCTGGAATCTGCATTTACTCCTCTGCACGTGGTTCTGAACAAAGCATCAGAGGTGACAGGACACAGCCACGACAGCCACGTAACATCCTCCAAAAGTTTTCAGGCAATGTTATAGCTGTCTGGACAAGGCTTAACCAATTCCATTTTGCTAGGAAGAAGACTTCTCCAACCACCAGAAGAGGCACGCATGATTACGTTCACTTGGGAGCACTCAAAAGCTTTAGGGGATGAGGACAAAAATTTCTGGCTTTAAAAAATGGAAAATAGGTATATTTCTGAAATGTGTTAAGGAACTTACTCCTTTTTTTTAAATAAAGTGATATATCCATACTAGATGACACGCAGATGTTACTGACAACTCTTAGACCCTGAGAGTTTATCTTACTTCAACACAAGGGAGGAGATGCTCAAAAGTACATTACTTAACCTGCACTCTTATATCCTGAACAGAATGGGCTTCTTGCTTCTCCTGGCTTCTTAAGGTACTGATGGCAACTGCTAATCATTCTGCCAAATAATCCAGTCTCTCTAGAACTCAGAACTTCACAGAGCTCAGCATTACTTGCAGAGCAGGAGAGGGCAAGTGGAGGAAAAAAATATATATATATCAAAGTGGTTCTTCAAAGCACATTTCGCAATTGAAGTACTTGCCTACTCAAAGAAATATGTGAATTGAACTCCAAGCTAACTGAAGTTGATTACCATTATTATTTGCTCATGGAGTGTAAACAGAATACAGACAATCCCCCATAAAAATTATTTACACTGAATTTCATTAAAAGCTGTATCGGTTGTTCAAACTTTCCTTCCTGTAACTTTTAAGACACCTTCAAAGATGCCTTATATGTAAGCATCATGTTAAATTTCAAGCATACCGTCATGCTTCCCTTACCAACGTTATATTCAAAAACTCAATATTTATGAAGATTATTCTACATAAAGTAACTTTTCAACTTCCAAACTACAGAACTCCACATTCAGTCTCACATCTTGTGTTGGAACCAACAGTTTTTATACCTGAAAAATGACAACATATTAAGAAAGCACTGCAAGAATATCAACAGGAATTCTCTAATCCCTCAGTAGTAAATCCACAAAACGCTTCAAAGCTTAATTGAAGAACTGTCTTTAGTGTTAAGAGGATCTTTTGCCAGCTTTCATGTAACAGTGGAAGCTCAGTGGAACTACTATACCCTAGTATTTGTTTCATCAGAGTAGTTGTAGTATTAACATGTGCTTGTGTGTGCCTGTTATATAAGTAGTGACCATAGCAATGGTCTTTCTATTTATCTTTCTATTTCAATTAAGTATTAGCCAACAAATTACTGGTAGAGCTGGACAGACAAATTGCTTTCCATAGACCATCCAATGACTCTAGAAGGGCACCCCTGCCTGTCAGAACCGAACCACTGATCAGTCTGCCAAGCAAATCGGTGACCCCATCCCACCCTGTAAAAAGCACAGGGGAAAAGCACACCACGAGCTGGAAGGGCAGTCCTTCCAAGGCTCTTCTCTGCTGTCCCTTTTGGCAAAGGGTTCAGCCTCCAGGATCAAAGCACTTCCCTCCCCTGCTGCATTTTGGCACATCACAGGACTTCAGCGCTCACCGCATGATAGAGCTGAGCAAGAGCTGGTCAGGCACAGCATGGGCTTCTTCTCAAGTTCTGTCCAGTGACTGAAGAACAATGAACATTTAACAGGAAAGTCACGGTGCACTCCCAAACCATCATGGGACAGAGTTTCCACAGGCCAAGGAGCCCGCTCTGCCAGAAACAAACATCTCTAGCCAAACTACATCAAGCATTCAATAGCTAACAGAAACTAGAGTTACTTACTGTCTCAGAGTGACCGAGGTTAGGGTCATTTAGCAATGATTAAGGAAAGCCTAATAAACGAGTATGCCAAGCAAATCCCACATGCATGTCTTGTGTAATTTCAACTGAATGGCCAGTTTTCCCTGAAAAGGGCTGAACATCTCAAGGAATGCAAAGCTGTGACGAACATTCCACCCCCAGCCTTTGGAAATACTGATATTTCATCACTGACTGAAATTTAAACAAAAACCAACTTTCTGAAGGTTAATTGCTGAACAACACAGTGTTCCTCCAAGTTTTTATTCCAAGTAAACAGGTAGTTCAGAAACCACATATAATTTGTGTACTCCCACAGCCAAAACTTTGCGGGTTTTGGTTGTTTTTTTTTTTTTTTTTTTTTTAATCTAAGGTGGCAAGTCTTCTAATCAATAAAATCATCTTACAGAAACCCATTCAAAAATAACAGAATCATAGAATGGTTTGGGTTGGAAGGGATCTTAAGATCATCTAGTTTCAACCCCTTGCTATACGCAGGGACATCTCCCTCTAGACCAGGTTGCTCACAGCCCCATCCAGCCTGGCCTTGAGTGCTTCAAAGGAGGGGGCATCCACAGCCTCACTGGTCAGCATCTTCAGCGTCTCACCACCCTCATAGTAAAGAATTTCTTCCTAATATGTAGTATAAATAAACACACACTAGCTACAGAGATACCACTTTCAGTTTAATTTGAAGAAATATTACCAGAGAATAAGTTTATTTACTTTTCATGAGTTACTTTTTAAAATTGAAGGGA